TGATTTTTTTTAACAATAACAACCAGAATAAAGCTCGGAGGTTTAATATAAACGTCAGTTTTGTTTCAATATTGCACTGATTTAAAAAAAAAAATTCTTCAGCTATAAGAAGCTGGGTTGAAAACAAGGGCTTTGCAATTCTCTTCCAGCAGCACTTCTCTTCCAGTGTCACACACGACATCTTTTTGCAATAAGATGGCTGACACCTCCTTCAAACAAGATGGTTGCTTTAAGACTCGGGCTCTAAAATGGCTATATCAAGTTGTGTGCCTGCGGGTTTGTTTTCATTTTTTTTTAAACTTAAGCCCATGCATTTCATAAGCTAGGTCTAGGGACAAATGCTTCTTACTTCTGAACTCATACTGCTGGCCTGAACAGACTGGCAGTTGTTGGTTTTGGGGTTTTTTCAAATGGAGAATTAACCTACATTTAGGCAGAAAATGTGACCTAAAGCTACTGGACATTTTTACAAGGAAAAATGCTACTCTTTTAAAAAAAAAAAAATCAATATTTTCCCAGGGGACTTGATGTTTGAAATGAATTAACATTTTGAAATGGACTCTGTGTGCACGTTTCTGCTTAGTGAACTTTCATGGAAAATTACTTCTTTTTGTATATGGTAAAAAACTATTTTTTCTGAGAGTAATAAACACGGTTCTTTAGAGCTTGCTACATATACCAAACTAGTTAGTTGCTTATGCAATTGTTATATATAGGGTAACTCTAAACATTTATGCATGTGAGCAACTTGCCTCAAATTGACCTATTTCTTTGATGGCACTTGCATACATAAGGATTGCAGGAGCCAGCCTTCTGCTATCAGCTGCATGTTGTTTGGTATTACTTGTCACTAGTTTGATACTCACATAGCACTGTTATTCTTCAAATGCCAATTATCTCATCCCTGAACTTCAGATAATCTTTTACCACACATTAAACCCCTTTGTTAAAGGAAGCATCATTAGCTGCCACGCTTCATTTGGCTCAGTCATTAGCTGGACAGAAAGAAACAAGAGATAAGAGGATTGAGGGAAGAGAAACGTTATGAACCCGGGCTAGTAAAGGGAATGTGCAGGCTGGGTGATTCTGAGTGGTATTGATTTAAAAGAAAAAAAAAAAAGATCTTATTGTTGTTGTAAAAAGCAATGATTAGGCGCAAATTTTAGCAGTTTTAACTAACAACTTGGATGCCTGAAAGCATTTTTAGCTAGCACTTGATTTCTTTTGATCAAGTCTAGTTCCTTCAAAGATAAGTTAGATATCAAACAGAACTACAGACTAGATACTAACCTTGGTCGTGAGAATCTTAGGCCTTTAGGCAATCAGGCTAGATGATTATAATGGTCCCTTTTGGCCTTTATGTCTATGAATCGGAAATTACTATGGAATTGAATAGAAAATAATAAACTTTAGGTAGGCTTCATTGGAAACCTTTGTATAAAATTTCATATAAAGACTGTATTTTTGCTATTGAATTCTGTAACTCAGTAATATGTTCTGTAGATTTTAGAGTGATTTCCAGAGAAGTTCATTACATTTATGTAGGGATCAACTGCCCCCCCCCCCCAGTTATAACAAACAGGTTTTTAATGTGGAGGTAAATGTAGCAAGAAGTATTCATCACTTGACTATGATCCCTCTGTTTATGTGCTCCTTTCTTCAATCCTTCTCTGTGTAATAAGGGACACTTTCACATGCATCTGTTTAAGCACTTTAAAATAAAAGAGCTGATAAAAAAATCTGCTTTTTGCAATATGTTTTGCAAAAAAACCCCCCAACAATTCTGAATTTCAAATATTTGCACCAGCTCTAAACACCAATAATACTATTTAATAATTAATTCAGATGAAAAAAGTAACATTACTTTTTAGGGACAATTAATTTTGAAAAGCTTCTTTTTTTTTTGGAAGTGTGAATTTGCATACATTTTCCTTATTTATCCTGTGAAGTGGAAACATAAGTCAATGTAGAGCTGGCCTAACATTATCACATTTAAGAAGCAGGATGATTTATATTACAAAGGCCAAGTCAAACACTTTCAAAGCATTAAACATTAATTTAGTACATCTGCAAAATCTCAAATATTAAAGATGACTAAAAAACGATCAAGAACAATTCTGGAATTGTACCTCTTGTTTTGGGGCAAAATGCAAATTCTTTCCCCTATTTAAAATTAAAGGGAAAAAATCCCTGTTTTGTTTGGGAGAGCAGTAGATAAATTTAAGAGTGAAAAAATAGTCACCACCATGACTAATCTGTGAAATACTAAGCCTTGAAAAGCATCACCTGAAATTGCCATTTTGAGCCTGTTTCTTACGGCAGCCATCTTATTAGAAGGGGCTATCAGCCATCTTGTTGAAAAATGTATGCAACAGCTTTGTTTTTCTATTCTTTGAACAGGTAAGGTATTGATTGCCACCCAAAACCATGATGAATAATTTTTCATATTTAACTATTCTCCAATTGAAAGATGCATTTTACAATTTGATTTTTGTTATTTGATGTTTCTATCTGCATGATTAACAAATAAGCAAAATGAAGCATGGTATCTACTGCTGTCTTGACTGAGTAGTTTAATGTGTAGCACGAGATTGTCTGAATGCAGGGCAGGACCAAATTGCTGTTTAATAATGTTCTAGCAGGCATCAAACTACCAAATCACACACAGTTGATTATTTAATTTGCAATACCACGTTAATTTATAAAACAACAGTCTGCCTGAATAGGACTATGAAAAATAAATGCCTTTTGTTACACAGCAGTGACATGACAGGTAATGCAGTTGCTTAGGGGGAAATGACAAAACTTTTTAATGTCGGTTAGCTAAATCAGCTAGGTTCTGCTGACAGTTCTTAGTATTATCATCAATACTAAGTATTTTTAGAAGATGCCTGAAATTAGCAACAACATCCAGGTACAGTACCTTATTGTATGCAATACCATGGAGTATGGTTTTCCTTGACAAATATTTCTTTGTTGAATTTGTAGTGTTTGTCTTCATCAGCTTTTTTAATTAACATGCCTGTTATGTACCCATTACTTTTACTAGGCCCAATTCTGCACTGCTTGGGCCAGTGCTGTGTAATGTTGTGGGTACTGTCTGCTCTGTGGGATAGATGAGGCAGTCCACAAGGAAACTTAACAGTTGCTACATTCACATCTGGAAACTCTGGAAAACAATATGTATCACAATGTTAGTAACAAATTATTTTGAAAAAATGAATTGGTCACAGCTTTATTGTACTGGATTGACTACATGACAGATTCTGCACCTGTTGCAATCTAGGAAAATGTATTGAATGCCGTGCCAGAAAGATCAAGTCCTTTGTTTGCTCAAGAGCTTCTGTGTCAACAGATGGTTCACTTTGGTATTGCTCAGGAAAACAGGAATGAGAGAAGCTAAAAGTGTGGCCGGAGTACTGGCATAGCAGGAGTTAGTGATGGTGGAGCTGCTGGGGAGAGATGGACACCCGTGGGGGCAGCCCTGGAATCGGGACCTGGCAGGACAGGGATGTAGATCTCCATACAGAGGTCTCAGACTATAAAGATGCAAATCCCCCTGCCTGCTAACTACCGTCTCTCCACAGGGTAGGGATTGTCACCACTTGTAGCCTGACCTGTGATGGTGCTGGTGGGGCCGGTTATCCAGTTCAGGTCTACCCAAGGGCAAGCAAAGCCAATTGTATCCCATAGGCTGGAAGCCCCCCGGGCACCCGAAGCAGTGGCGGCAGCACTGACAGCTTCCCTTGCTACCAAGGAATAACACTGAGGAATAACCTGGGAGTATGAAAGCTGCATGTGGCAGATCAGTGCAACGTGGCCCAGTGGCAGGTGCTTCCAGTCGAGCCCTACTGACCCAGGAACCTCAGCGTGAAATAAGTCAGAGCCTGTGGCCTCACTCCCATGCCTGCTTTTGATCATTCCCCGTGCTCCTACACCCATGTGCGTGCACGTGATGCTGGACACCCATCCTTTTAACAGATCATTGGTATTTTCAGGCCCCTCCTTTTAGTAAAAGCAGCTAATAGTTTTTGCCTGTTCTCAGAGGAGCCCTGTTCAGAGGCTCTCTCCAGGTTCACTGAGCCTGGAGGGAAAAATGAAGAAGGAAGTTTTTGTATCTGAAAATGTAATTAAAAAAAAAATGTGGGTGGGTTTTCTGTAGTTGATTTTTAGTTTTTTTTTTGGGGGGGGGGTGAGGGGTTTTGTTTAAGAAAGCAGAGAAGCGAGCCTTAAAACTTTCGGTTATTTCATAATATTTGGGTTTGCCTTTATCTCATGTAGGTATCTTGAACTTCATTGGGGGTCTTAGAATATTGAAACAGTGCTATGCTAAAATGGAAGCAAGAATAAACATTTGCATCCATCCACTGACACCTGTGAGAAGAACAACTTCTGCAAATTTACATTCTCATTGACCGTGAAGCTGAAAGGGTGGTGATCCTGCCACACTTTTGGCTTCTCTCATTCCTTGGAGTCTCAAAACAGCAGATTCCCTATGCCTGAAGAAGGGTGACTGCACCCAAAAACTTGCCAAGAACTTTTTTCCAACTACTCAGTTGGTCTAATAAAAGATATCATATTTACTCAAAAAAACCCCGTTGCTTGCCTATGTCCATTAGACCCCTGAGAGCAGCCACCAGCCTGATCCCCCTCCCTGCCAAACCAGGGGTTGCAAACTTACCCCCTTGGGCGTGAAGGGGTTAAAAAGCAGCCGCTCTCCTTTGGGAACTACACCTCCCAGCATGCACCGCTCCCTCACCCTCCCCTTCTGCAGGGTGGCCTAACTTCCCGGCATGCAGCTCTCGTGGCCGGCTCACGGCAAAGGACTCCAGCACCCAGCAGGCAGTGCTGGGCGCGGAGGGGCGGGTTCCAATGCCCTCCTCCAATGGGAAGCAAGGGGATGGAGGGGTTATGCAAATCAGACCTGGCCGGGTCGGGAGCCTGCCGACGTCATCGCCGTCGGTGTGCGGTCGTGTGAGCGTGACGTTAGCGTCAGCGCGGCCGGGTGCGAGCGGCAAGATGGCGGCGGCGTTGCTGAGGAGCTGCAGCCGGCGGCTGCCCCGCCTGGGCCTCGCGCCGGGTAAGGGCCTGGCCTTTCCGGGGCGCCGCGTCTGGGCCTCGCGGGGCTGCGGCCCTCGGCCCTGCGCGACCTCGTGCGCTGCTGCAGAGGGAGCCCGGGGTGGGGGGGAATCTGATGCCTGTGGCCCCTCCCCCCCCGTTTGACCCCTGCTCAGCCCAAAGGTGAACCCAGCCGCGTGGCAGCGGCGGCGGCGGCGCAGCAGAGGGAGCCATTGTCCCCGCGTTGCCAGGGCTTACATACGAAACGATCCTTTTGGCAGCTCGAAACGATTGGATTCACTGCGAAACTCTCGCTGAAAAGAGACTCGGGCAAAGAAGTCTTGTTCTTCCTGACCTGGCGTTGCTTGCTGTCAGGACGAGCGAGCGAGAGCTGGGTCCTCCACAGGGGAGCATTTCTTGTTTTGGAGGCCAGCCCTCGCAAGGAAGTGCTGCTGGCAAACCCCAAAGTTGGTTAAGGCTCCCTGAGAGGGACTACCTGTGCGGCATCGATTAGCGGTCTAAAAAACGACCGTACGCTTTCATTACTTTTACTATGATCGTACAGGGGTTGGCATTTATTGTGCAGTTGCGATAACGATCGTACATCTGGTGCCGCTGCGCCGCCCCTTGGCTTCCCACGTCCTCTCCCTGCTCCCGTCTCGACTCCTTCCTCAGGCGTTAGCCCCCCCCTCCCCCCTTTTCGTGGCTGCTCCTCAGACCACCCTTTCTTCTGCTGCCTGGTCGCTGTTCCCCGTCCTGTCTCTTTCCTCTTTACCGCAGCCCTGCTGGCTGGTTTTAGCCCTAGCTAAAAGCCTGAGCTCAAGCGCGGTCCTGCGAACCCCGTTGTAAAATGACTGATGTGGAGACGCTGTCAAGACGGCCAGGCTTTGACATGTCTGAATGAGACACGACCGTTTAACCGTCATGGCAGCAGGACGAGGGACGCGCTATTGTCTGACCCTTTTGACCTTTTGTTGCAAATGCTCCTATGATTTGTCCTTACAAGTTTTTTTGGTTGTTTTTTTGTTTTAAAGCTCAGCCCCTCATACCCCCAAATCCAAGTTTTTTTAAAGTAAACAACTGCTTGTGAATTAATTGCCTCTAGCTTTTGGTTCAGGTTTAAATTTATTTGGAAGCCCTGGAAACTGCAGCCTTTTAACACCGGGAGTGACGGCTGCTGTGTCGACTTACTTGGCCATCAGAGGCGCTGTGCTGGGTCAGGTGACTGGCCCAGGGAGCCCTGGTATCCTGCATCAAAGAGTGACACAGAGTACAGGCTAAGGGGAAGAGGGCATTTATGTAGGTAATGTCCAGACTGCTCTGTCCCTTGCCCTTCCTCCCTTGCAGCTTCTAGTACTTCAGGTAGTGACTTGATCTTGCAGTTGCTCACAAGTGACCTTGAACCCTGACCTGCACGATTCAGTCACTGTTGAGGGAATACAACTGTCTGGGGGTCAGACTTGATGAGCTGTTCAGGTCCCTTCCAGTCCTAGAAACTATGAAACTAAACTGCATGGCTGTGCCCAGTCCTTGCCTGGCAACATGGTTCCTTGTCCATTGTGGTAAGTCCACTCATTTTGGACTTGTCACCCACAGGTTGGATTTTATTGACGTTATGGTTCTGCTGATCTTTGTTCACTTACTGCAGTACAGGGCTAGGTTTGGGCTTAATTTGAATTGTTGATAAGAATGAAAGTAAGAATATCTTGGTACTGATAATCTGAGCTATCCAGTCTTTGTACTCTATTCTGCATCTTAAATGAAATGTAAACTGCTAAGCTATGACAGTAAATAAGAACATTGTCATCCTTATGGCATCACTGTCATGATAAATGAAATGTTTTTTGAACATTTCATATTACAGGAGAGTTGCCTTACTAATACATAGTATAATCACATTTTTAGTGCATTATATTGGCATGTAAGTCACATGCGCTTAACTGGAACATACAACTATTGTTAACTTGTTATTTCATAAGAAAAAAGCCCATTTGTAGCAGTTTTGTTTTGCTTTAGTGCCAACATAATCTTAGTTCCTCTTCTTCATCCAGTACCTAAGTAGTCTTAATGCTTCTTAGAATCCTGAGTGTTCTAGTAAAGATCGTCTTATGCCTCTGCGGTGACTTGTTTCACATTTAGACTTTTTCCATTTGAGCACTTTAAATAGTTCAGAACAGAATGGTATGCAGTCTAATCAGTGCTGAAGTTTGTAAGGGTGTGCAAATTTTAAAATAAAGGATCCAAGTTATTCCCCTACTGGCTTTCTGTGAGGCAAGATGTTTATCTACAGCTCTTGTTTGCCTGGATGCCTGCCTTGGTTCCTAAAGAGGTAATCCTAGTTAATGGTTTTTTTAAAGGGTCAGTGTCAGGAGATAAAGGCAGTAGATCCTCCCCTGTTCGTACACATTTGGGCAGCTTTAATGTGCCAGAAGCAAGAAGCATAACTCTCCTTTCTCCCCGTTCTGTGGTCGATATGTGATTTGTTCTCTTGCACTGCACATGGGTACAGGTCTGAGATTGCAGCACAAGAGGCTCTTCGGATCTAAGCAGGCTTAAAATTGAAATGAAAATATTGTGGAATCTTTTAACGAACTTGTGTTTTGCTTCTGAAGTACAGTGCCTCAGAATATATTTCTAAATAACATAGTTGTTTACAACTCGCTTTAAAGTCAACCATCTTCTTGAACTTCAGTCTGTACACTAATTATTTTTTTTTCCAGGTAACTTGGGAGAGCAGTCTTGTCTCAGCTGTACATCTCTGCGGTTGATAAGGAACACGTAAGTAATTGGAAAAATAATGATGTTATTTCTCTAGGGTTCTAGAACTGCCCAACCACCCTAAAAAAGGATGTTGCAGTATTTGAGATTTAAATGATGAGAGCCTGGAACCAAAGTTTTAATAGTGTCAGTGGATGTTATTCAGAAAGAATTGGCAAGGTTTAGACACGTTCTGGAGGACTAGAAAGACAGAGACAGACATCTGAGTCAAAGATGACTCCTAGGTTATGAGCCTTACTGATGATCAGAATGGCAGTGCTACCCCCACTTTTCTTCATCACTGGAGAACAAGTAGATTTTGGTTGTTGTAGAAGATTAGATTCAGTCATATAGAGCACAGAGATGTTAGTTTGTGCAGGAGATGAATCTGGAGGAGAGCCATAGATTTATGAATTGCCACTTAAGGCTGGTGGTAAAATTTGTGCTTGCAGATGAAATTACCCAGAGATAGTTTGGAGGAGGTAGGAGAAGAGACCAGGGAAGGAGGCTAACGATAGAGTCATGTGGAACTTGCACAGAAAGCTGAAGAGGATCCTTTAAAGAAGGGTTGTCCAACTTCTAAACCCCCAGGGTCATGTTTCTCAGAGACTGTACCAGTTGGGGCCATGTACCCTGGGAGGGGTACCAGATGAGGTATGGGCTATTGGGCTGCTCACCTCACAAATGTTATCCTCGTCCCCCCACCCCTAACCCCCACCCCACCATCCGCACTGCTGTATCACATGAGCAGTCCCCCCACCCAGCATGGTCCTGATTTCCATGTGTCCCTGTCCCCTTCTTCCCTCTCCCAGCCCCAGACTTACCTTTAGCTTCCTCCCCTCACAGTTATGGGGAGAAGGAGGCAGGAAGTGGCAATCAGAGGAGGGAGGGGAAACCTGGAGACTGGCTGCTGTTGCAGCTGGAGCAATGTGGGGAGTAGCGACTGGGCAGGGCTGCAAATGTTCTACATGCTGCCAGTAGGACAGCCCTGCTTTAAAGGATATGGCAGGGCTGCCTAGAGAAATAGGTAGAGAACCAGAAGTGAGACAGGCCCAGAAGCGGAGAGGGGACAGAATTTCAAGAAAAGGACCATAGCTGCGCAGTTGATTGTGGTGGGCTTGACAGGTCAAAGACATGGATGAATTTTTGAAGTCTTTCCTTAAATACAAACATGATCCGCTGTCATTGTTGGTGACCCCTCAGGTCAAGTAAAGGGTTGTAGATGTGTCCATTGATGGCTAAGAAAGCCGATCCTAGAGCTGCAGACTCTCTGGCAGATGCCACAGGTGGTGGTTAAAGGGAAGGTCAGATCACAGATTTCTCCATGTTGTTTCCTTTCCTTCCATTTCTGTCATTTTTCTGCCTCCAGGATGAGATGGTTTTCCTCAAAGTAAGATGTACTTTCTCCTAGAAGGGATTGCCATGTAGTGCTGTCCCAAACTAGTTTTTCCCAATTGGTGGTATTATTGCTACACTTAATGTTCTCGTTGAGGGTGTCCTTGAAGTGTTTCCCTTGGGCCCCATGTGTCCTTTGTCCTTGGCTGGATTGGGAATATAGCACTTATTTTGGTAAATGTACATTAGGCATGTGCACACAATGCTCTGTCCACTGCAGCTGATGTTGCATAGTCAACACTTCCATGCTGGCGGTGTTAGCATCTGTGAGGACACTGGCATTTGTGTGATGATCCTCCCACTTTATGCCAAGGATCTCCCAGAGGTAGTGCTGTTGAAGGTGTTCCAAGCTTTTTACGTGGTCCCTGTAGGTCACCCAAGCTTCACAGCCATAGAGAAGAGTTGGGGTTATCACAGCCTTATATAGTAGGAGCTTTGTTTGAGTCCTGATGTTGTGATCATTGAACACATGATGATACAGTTTTCCAAAGGCAAAGCTGGCACATTGGATCCTATACTGGATCTCCTCATCAATGCTGGCTTTCTTTGAGCGATGGCTGCCGAGGTATGCAAAGTGTTCAGCATTCTCCAGCTCTGTCCGTCAACTAGGATCTTTGTCTGGGGAGCTGATTGGCCTGGAGCCAGCTTCCATGTCCAAGAAATCTATTTTCAACAATTTCTGTAGTCTATATCGGAACTTCTCACTTTGTAACTATTTAGTTTCTGTCCCTTATTACAAGCACAAACTGACCTCTGTACATGGACTCAATGTTCCTGCTTTTAATAGTATAAAATGCAAACTCAAAAATGATGCTTTAAGGCTATTTTGTCAATCTCTCATCATTTTAAGTTATGCATGTTATTATGTCTTGTAGCCTTAAATTGGCGCTGGACATCTTATAAGCAGTATTCTTCATACCTTTTATCTTCTCAGTAGAAGAATATTGCCAACTTCTTCCAAAGAAGAATCTTTCAGTTTATATATACTTTTTAATTTTCTTCTAGTGATGGTTCACTTAAGTTTTCAGAAATTAAATTTTGTCCCTGGAATAAGTGGTATAATGTTTGCGAAGAAATGCTTTATTTTTCATATGTAACAGTGGTCTAATCCCTGCTTTAAGTGCAAAATTTAGTAGAAAACAATAATAAGTGACTGCTTTTTCCCTGTGGTTTAATATGGTATATTAAACAATTCTAAAATTATTTTAATTTGTTCATAGTAGTCAGGAAAGAATCTGAGGCAGTTGTCCTGGGGAGTACCACACTTTAAATAGCTCTACAGTAGAGAGAGATTATAGCCTGCTGCTTTAAGGGTATAATGGTATCCATAACATTTTAAAGTCCATCATCAAATATGATTCAAAGCCAATGAAATTAGAGGGAAGAGTTGTACTCTGAAAAGGTGGTGTATAGGGATTAATGTTTCTGTGTTGTCAAGATGTAAAATTTGTGATTTTTTTTAAGTTTAAAAGAAAATGTTTTTTTAACTGCCAGTCCATGGGATCTAGAAATAAAGCTGTGGGGGTTTTCTTTATATGCAGTAAACTATGTATGGTAACTATTGTGAAGGCCAGCTGATGTCCTTACTTGCACCTGTGCAATCACAGTGTCATGATGGAGTGTGCTGAAACATCCAGCGTGATCAAACTGATCAGCTGACCCTGACTGAAAGCTGAAAGGAGATACAGTTTGGCTAGTGTCACAAACTGTCTGCCCTGGGCATGACTGGTATCTGGTTATGTGCCCTTATTTTTTCCCCCAAGAGCAGGGGTTTGAGAGAGGATGGTAATCTGCAAGTTCTCCAGGTTTATGAAATGTGTTTTCTCATACTTTATGATACTGTTATAAAGCTGCAGTTCTTCCACAACCTTCGGTTAAAAATTGCAATATTACTGGTACAAAGTGACATTCCTGTTGAGACCCCTATGGAAAACCTTTCCAAATTCCAGCAGCTGCACTGATCACAACTTAGAGAGGTTAGCTTTAAAAATGTTCATGTAATTTTTTGAGGTTTTTTCAGGATCATATTTGGTTTTTGCTCTTTTTTATACTCCTGTTGGGCACATTTGTGTTTATCGGGCAGATATGCCTTTTTATTAAAATCCAGCAATTTAGGTTATTCTTAAGGAAATACCAGTTGAAAACCACGCAATCAAAACACTTTAAAAATATTTTTATAATATAGTCCTGAACTTGGGAGTTTAAGGTTGACTTTCAGGCCCATTAAAACTGACCTGTTCAGGTTTCTAGTGTTTGAATATTGCTTCTCGGGATAAAGGGAGGTGCCTGTCAGTTCATTTCTCTTTTTTACCCCCATCGAGTTTCAAATGTTGGTAAAAGACTTGACACTTTATGACTCTTCTTTTATATTCTCTGTCATTATATGGTGCTAAAATATTTAGGGATGCTACAGATGCTAAAAAAAAAAACCCACCAAAAAAATCTGGTGCTTTACTTCAAACTCCTGGCGCTTCTGCGTCGAGCCCCGCGCATGCCCAGAAGAGCCATCATGTTAGTTGGGCCTGGCTCACCCAATGTCTGTATAGATTGGGCACTTCAGTGCTGCTTTTTTGGTGCTTTTATCTAATAGCTGATTGGATTAGCTTTAGAAAAAAGCTCCAGAAGGCCCTGCTGAAGTACCCGATCTATGCAGATACTGCAGAGCTGGGTCGAAGTAACACGCTGGTGCTTCTGGTAAAGCGTGCTTTTTTTTTTTTCCCTTTTTTTTCTTTCCTTTTTTTTTAACATCTGTAAGCAGCCAGGTTGGATTATGAGACTGAAGGGCGCCTCTTGCATTAGGTCCAAGGACCTGCATTGTGTAATCCCTCCCATACAGTGATCAAAATCTATCTCATAACTTGGTAGCTTGTTTGCCACTACCTGAAGGCTGTTTGAGAATCTCGCTCCTCTGCTAGTGAGTAGCTTTTCTTTAGTCTTCTGCCTAAATATTTATTGCCCATTCTTGCCCATTTGTTCTTGTGCCAGCATTGTCATTTAGCTTAAGTAGTTCTCCCTGCTTGGCATTTAGCTTCATGATATATTTATAGACAGCAAACATATCCCATCTCAGCCAGCATTTTGCTAGACTAAACAAGCCAAGCTGTTCAAATTTCTTTGGTAGAACCATGGTGTCCATTCCTGGATACATCTGTTAAATAATAATAAAATAATAGAACAGGGAAAACTAGCTCTTGATTTTTGTTAGTAAAGCAGATGGAGAAATGTGTATGCCAGTGGAGTATTTAAACACATACATAGCAATCCATAACTGCTGACAGACAGGATTTCTGAGGTGGTTTACACATGTCAGTACTGTACAACAGACTTATCTTTCTGCCTTCTATCAAAGTTAACTGGCCTGTGTGCTCCTGGCCTATGCTTCAGACCCTGCCTGTCATCGAGTTATTTATAATGAGCAAGGTTTTCTCTTTGCACTTCTTCAGTAGGGGAACACACTTCAGGATGCCAGTAGGGGAACACACTTTTCCAGCCCACTACAGGTCACAGGATAGGCGCTGTGCTATATAGTTGCAAATGTGTAAGGTGGTAGCATTCTCTCCTACGAGCAGTTTCTCTTGCAGATATTGGACTTGAGCAAGTAGCTTCCTTTCCTGGGCCTCTTCCACCCAGAGGGCACTTAGCCATATGTGCACATTTGTATAGAAGATGACATTGCGGTATGTGGCATCAGGGTGTGTTAGTTTATATACTCTGTTTCAATTGTATTTAGCATTTGTACCTTTTTCCCCCTAAAAACAAAACAAGTAAGTCAATTCTCGGTAGTTAGTAACCATTATAACATACCATTTTGTACTTAAATAGAGCCTTTACACTAAATTTGGTACTCACTTTTCACAGGAGGATACACTCCTGTGAGAAACTATATCTAGCCACCAGGGTGGATTGATTTAAATCAAGTCTGTTTAAATCACTGATTTAAATTGATTTAAGTCAATATGCCAAAAGGCCTATTTATAAAATTTATTTTTTATTAACTTTTCGTGTGTGTGTGTGTGTGTGTGTGTCTGTGAGAGACAATAATCTAAACATACTGGTTTAAAACTAAATACAGCTTTTATAATAGACTTGGTACATATGTTTCTTAGGTACACAAACATATATAGTTTAACATATTTGAATTAGAAATCCTACATTTTAGGATGCCATAATATGGTGAAATATATATTTTTATTCACTAGATAAGATTACATTTTTGCTCATATTTGTATCAAGCTGCATTAAGATGGCAACTTGAATTTAAGCATCCATTTCAAATGTATTAAACAAAACTTTAATGTTCTAGATACAGAAACTTTTTTAAAAATCAAAACATGGTGCACATACAACTAACTAATTTATTAAACTCTAGTATTAACTGTTATAGTTGTGGCAGAGTGCTTCTTCAGCAGTCACCTTGAAGCCCCTGGAGTCCCTGCAGCCCTCACTTTCTGGGCAGTCACCACTTCATTTGCTCGCCATGCCTTTTTGCAATTTCACCAACGTTTTCTTTTATTCCTGGAGTACTTAAATCTTTGGCTAAAAGGTGCATCAAATGAATACTGCATCGACATGTTGTAAGTTTCAGGTTTGCTTCATGCTCTTTTAGGTTTCTTCTCATCTTTGCTAGATCTGCAGCATTACCTGTGACAAGGCTACACACATGCCACTTGAATTTTGCTCACTGTTTGTTATAGCTTTTACTGCTGCTATTTTTACATATTTTGCAGTATGGGCATTTCCTGATATATCAATTGTTTCTGAGAGGTAACCAATCCATTGTCACATAAGGAAATTTTATTGGATTGTTGTGTACATTGCTCCATCCATCAAATTTAACACTTTCCCTTCGATATTTTTTTGCACACTGTTCAGTTTTCTTCTCATACACTGTATCCAAAAGCCTTTCAGCAATATCTGTTTTGCTGGGTGGAGTGTAACCTGGTCGTAATGATTGAATCATGTCAGTGAAATATCTGTTCTGAGCATGATGAAAAGGAGAGTTTATTGCATGCATAAATGAACTGAACAATCTTTTCATCTACGTTATCTTACTGAACTTTGGTTTTATTATGAACTCATTCATAATTTTACTGTATAACGAAGAAAGTCTCTTTTTTGCATACAGGTAATTCAGTCTCAGGTATGTTTAGTTGCAGTACTCCTGGTGATACTAGTAGATGATTCTGAAGTTGCAGACACTACAGATAATGGACATTCCTAATTTCTTGCATTTAAGCTGGACCCGGAAACAAAATGGTTAAAAAGTCACTTGCACTGAATATTCCTTAGTGCATTACTTAAAATAATGGGATTGTAAATGAAAGATCTCTCCTACAGCAGATATTATTTAAAAAGTAACTAAAAAACATAATTTTTCCAAGCCCAGTTTGATAGGAAAATATTAACTTACCAGCATTGCAAGATATGGAAAGCAACCCATAAGAATGGTTAAAAGTAGTAAGTTTACTAAGCAGTTGATCCCGGTGGCTCAAGACATGACCACATCACTTTCTTCAAGTTCATTGCCTTCTTCCATCCAGGAAGAGCACACACCAACTGCTGAAGCTTCCTTAGCCTGACAAAGGGTTTTTGAACCCGAAAGCTTGCTTAATAACTATTCTCCAACCATTTGAGTTGGTCTAATAAAAGATATCAAATTCACCCAAGGAACCTTGTCTGCCTATTGCCTTCTGAGAAGCAGTTTTCTTAATGTTGTTTATTTACACTTTGCATTTGGCACAAGTTCCTATCTTTCCCAGTGGCACAGGGATTTTTAAATTATTCCTAGATAGTCTTTTTTGTGACCTGAAGCCATGGCGTTTTTTTCCTCCAGTTTCCAGGTGTTGAAATCAAGACTAGTGTGTGCCCCACAGAATGTTGTTCCTTTTCCTTCCCTGTTTTGAGCCCAGGGTTGGTCTTTCTATTACACACAATGCTCTTTACTCTACTCCCTCTCTGTCCTCCATACAAGACGTTAACAACTAACCAAGATCCCTTCTCCCCTCTTTCTCACCCCCCCCCAAAGCCTCTCCAATCCCTTTCCCTTAACAATTCATGCTTTCTGCTATTGTAACCCCATGGCTTTGTGTACTGTAGTATTTTAGTTTAGAGATATGGACAGAGCATTTTAAGTTAATGTTTATAGGGGTCCACTGATAGAGATTTTTGAAGCCGATATTGATTTTTAAGTATGCATATTGGCCGATACCGATCCGATTTCTGATATGTAGTTCTTCAGCTTGGACAGCTGCATCCAGCTGATAAGTCTGGTGTGGGAGAAGGGGAGGGAATAGGTGTGGAGGGGGCAGATCAAGGCCCCTGCGGTGAGGGAGGGAATGGGGCTGGGGCAGGTGCTGACAAGCCAGGGCAGAGGGGGTGCGGGGCAGAACCAGGAGCAGCTTGTTGGGGTGGGGGACATGTGCCCCCTGATCTGCGCAGCATAGGGTGGGCTGCAGCTGTGGTCTGGGGCCAGGGCTAGGACGGGTACAGGACCAAGGTGCAGCTCATCAGGGGGGTATGGAAAGGGGGGAAAGGGCAGCTCCCACCGCTGCGCATGGCTCATCCAGCACTCCGGTGCTTGTCTGGTGGTTCCTGCCGCTTGTCTGGGAGGGCCTGGGGGAGGGGCATGTGCCCCGGTCCAGCCCACCCTGCCCCATGCAGATCCGGGGCGCACCCCCCCCCAACTGTGCCCTCTGGGGGAGCAGCAGTGGGAGCCATCAGATGAGCACTGGATGAGACCCCCCACCCTGCACCCCTTCAATGAGCTGCATCTCTGTCCTGTGCCTGCCCTGGCTGGGCAGCCCCTGCCCCAGCCCCAAACCCACACCTTCCCTCACCACGGGGGCCTTGATCTGTGCCCCCGCGCCCACTCCCCTCTCCCTTTCCACCATACCAGACTTACCAGCTGCACGCAGCAATCAACACTGCTGGCTCTGCTCCTCACTGCCTACATACTGCACTGCAGCTACATGCAAGCATGGGCATTAATTGGACAAATTATTGACCATGGTGCCGATCCGATATCGGACTGATTAGGGGTGCACCTCTAAATGTTTACATCTTTGAACATACTCAAACCTTGTTTACCCGAATCCAAGAGGACCCCGAATTTAAGTTGACCACACAATAATTAGATTCTATACATGGCTAAAGTATGCATTTATCATAATTTTCCATGTATAGAATCTAATTATTGGAGGACCGTCTTACATTCATTTCCCCACTGCTTCATGTGGTGGGAGGACAGGTAATGAAGGGGGCAATAATGGCGCAGATGGTGCGGGGGCATGTGGTAGGATGTGCTGGTGAGGCAGGTAGTGGAAGGGCATTGGAACGCAATAAGGGGGTTGGTGGTGGAGGGAGCAGCAGGGGACAGGTGGTAGGGGCAGGCAGTGTGGAGGCCCCCCTTACCTTTCCTACGGCACCAGCAGACTGCGTGGGGCACTGAGCGTGGCTCCAGCCTGATCCCGTGGCAGCAGCACAGAGCTGGCACTGCTGCCACAGGGCTGGACTGGAATTGTGCTTTGTGCTCCAGGCTGCAGTGAGGATGGAACGTGCTGGCGCTGAAGCAAAGGTAAGAGGGGTTGTGATGGGTGGGAAGGGGTAGGAGGGAGGGGTGGGGGGAAGCAGCATACTCTCTTCTAAGATAAGGGGCTTTCCCTCCTATGCTAAGGGGGGCGGGGGCAGACATCGCCTTTTAATCAAGTAAATACAGTAACTGAAGTACCTAGAACTAGAGGTATATATATCGGTCCATATCGTATTGGCACTGATAAAGGAAAATTGACATTATCGGTAATTGGCTTTTTTTGGCCAATGTTGCTGATAATGCCACCAATAAATACTGTGTGCATGTGTGCAGCTGCAGCATGCACATGGCCAGGAATGCAGCTGGGCAGCTTGAAGAGCAGCATCTCGCTGGTAAGTGTGTGGCGGGGAAGGGTCATGGGGTTGCAGATTGAGGCTTTCCAGTGTGGCCCTGCTTAGGGTCTCCATGGAAACCCGCCTGAGGCATGTGGGGAGGGGCTGCTGGGAAACAGAGTCCGGCCACCAGCCAGATCCTCCATTTTGCCCACCCCTGAGTTGGACACAAAAATAATTAAAATAGCTTGTCATTTAAATAAAATTGCCTTAAATATGCTGGATACATACAGACAAAAGTAACTGGTTTTAGTCAAAGGAAGTATTGCCTGTAGAAATAATTTAACTAGTAGTTTCTGATCACTGTTCTTTCAAGATCTCATCCTCTTGCACCCAGTTCTGATTTTTAGAGTGGAAGTGGAAGACGACCCTGCTTTTCCAGTATCCAGTTACACTTTCTTATCTTTGAATGAACTGAAATTAAGAAAATTCTCTATGCTGGTGGAAGTAGCTACTGCTGTCAGAAATCCGTTTATCATTTCAACTAATTCTAGTGAGGGTGCTTGTATAGTGACTTTCACTGTTTCAATGACTGGACTTTCTTTAAAACGTAGGTAGCAAACATACTGCTTAATAAATGTTAATGTGTTCAGATTTTTATACGTTGTTATAATTTCAGAATGAATTTTAAAAATAAACAGTTAAATAAAAAACACTTTTACTGGCCATTAGACATAGAAGGAATCAAACAGATTTAAGTAGTGTGGTAATATAGTTCCTCTCTGAACTGGCAGAAGACTAATGCCATAGAAAGGATCCATGTTTTACTCTCACAAACCTGCAGACACAGATGAGGTGTACTAACGGTGCTTTGTAAGGCCTCTGTTGCAGCAGGCATTGCGTAACCATGCATGTCATGCAGAACTAAGGATGCTTCCCTCTTTCCTATAGGTGCAGACTCGTATCTTATCCTTTGCACTAACTAGTCGTAGTCTACAATGCTATTGTGACAGGTGCTTTGGAAGTGCCTGCAAACAAATACTTAGAGTAACTGAGTTATGGAAAATATTAGGACCTCAAATAAAATAGCTTTATTTTTGAGTTTTCTTTGTGGAGAAGAATCAAAGCTATTTCTCTAAGCTTTTTAGAAGTGACTGTTTTCTATTTCAGTAAATACAGAATTAAGTGACTTAAATTTCTTCATTTTAATAGTATATTTATTACTTGAGTGTTTTGTAATAATAGGAAAAGTGCTAAATGCAGACCATCTTGAATGTAAGGAGTAGTTGTGATATATGCATGATTTAGTGTTGTTGTTTATCTATGGATCAGTGCCTCCATAGTCACTTTTCAGACTACATTTAATTTCTTCCAGAAAAGGAGCAGAAATGGTTAATGATCTAGTATCCTGTTGTCTTGTACAGACTGTTGATAAGCTTGAACTGGAAGCTTAAGCAGAACAAAAAGCTTCTAGAGAAAAGGAAAAATCTAGGCTTGGAGATAAGGGGGGAAACTTCATAAGAGTTGGTTTATATCAGACTAATTTTCCCTTAAATCTAGCAGTGTGTGATTTCTCTGCAAGTGTGCTGTCCAAATGGGATGCATGGAGGGCTTTAAGTTGCTTCTGATTTTCTAGATTTATTTCTCCATCTAACTTTTAAACAGAAAGCACTTGCTTCTTCCCGACCTTCCCCCATCATCAACAGTGTTGTCAGAAAAACACTGTAGGTAAAATTTTAATGTTATGAAGTGTAATAATCACCGTTTTCAAGTGAAATTTAACATATGGATCTTAAATCCTAAATATGCAGTAAAACGTTCTCGAAATATCTGCCATTAACCGTTAAATCTTAAATGTTTCCCTCTCTCTCTTTTTTTTTCCCCCCTCTCTAAGGAATGTCTACTTTAAATGTTGTATTAGTGTCCATCCTGTTTACGTTTACTCCAGAAAAGTTCATGATAGTTTTTGGACTAAAGGCTCTGAACGAATGTACTTAACAATTGCGAGTTCTCCTGACTCATGGACACCGCTTGAAAGTATAGGCATTTTGGGGCCCCGGTACCTTCCAGTTCGGTGGTGGCATTCTTCACGTCCCCTTTATGATGACTCCATGGTGGAAAAATCACTGAAGTCTTTAAAGGATAAAAGCAAGAAGTTGGAAGAAGGAGGCCCTGTATATAGTCCAGCCGAAGTAGATGTGGTTAAAAAATCACTTAGACAGAGGATTGTGGATGAGCTGAAGCACTACTATCATGGCTTTCGATTGTTGTGGATTGACACAAAAATTGCTGCGAGAATGCTCTGGCGAATACTTCATGGCACCACTTTATCTCGTAGAGAACGGAGACAGGTACTGAGTACATATCCATGTTGTTTAGTGCTCTGAGTGAGTAGACTACTTGCTTGGGTTAAACTGAGCGGGTTCCTTGTTTCTTGTATTCCCTGTATTTAAAATTTATAAAAATATACTGGTATCTCTAAGTAAGAAATTTGACTGGGTATTTGCAGCTGATGGGAGGTGGGGAGGGGTACATGGTCCAGTTCGTCCAATATGTACACACATGTATTGTTTAACTTAATTCTTCCTTACTCTGACTTTTTAGACCTAACTGTAGAATTTTGGTTTTCTTAAAATTTTGGAACAGAAAACAAATTATGTTAAAGCATAGACTTTACTGGACAGACTTATTCTATCTGCTCGTTTTCCCACTAAATAATTGGAATGTCTTGTGCTTATTGTAGCATGAAACATATATATGTATATTTTTATCAACAGTGGCATCAGGGTGTTTGATTTGTTATTATGTTGCTACAGCATGAATACTTGTTAATTTAGTGACTGATACTTTTTATTTTGCAAAGTACAAACTGTTTATGAAAACTAAAAAAAACCCCTTGTACACGTGCAGTACAGAAAAAGTAATTTAGCTTTTTTTTAATGACAAAGTATGTATTTAGTGTATTTATGCACTTTAAGTTTTGTAAACTGTTTTTTCCTAATATAGTCATTTTTTTTTTTCTAGTGGTCATTATGTGAAAAAAAAAAAAATTCCTCAGCTTTTTCTAACATACAAAAGCATTTGGAATACTGGGGATAAACAGTTTAACAAAATCTTTGAAATCTAAGCCATTTGAATTATTATTAGGCTGTGTAAAACACAGAATGGATAAATGCATATTCTTTTTTGTATGCACACACACAACATACTAATTCAGAAGCACTTTGAAGCAATATACATCAATTATGAGACTAGTTCCAAATAAATGTTTTTTTTTCCATTCAGAGTTTGACATAAAAGATATATTCCAATGTGCCAAGACTGGAGCTGCATTCTCAACTGATTTTTAAACTAAGCTTATAACTGATATAAAAAACTTGTTTTTGAGATTCTTTAATGCAAGAACCAAAAATACACGTGTTCCTAAAAAGGTTTTAGAAAAGTTTGATTTTCTTTTTTTTATGATGTGACCTGTCATTCATAATACTCTGAAATCTCCAGTCAATAGACACTCTTTAAGAGCTTTAAAATGCACTAATTTTCTTTACTATAAAGTTACTGATTTTAAATAACAAATCACAAATGTTTGTTTCTGGCAGTAGAGAATTGACGTTGGCAGTGTCCCTGTAGCTTTCAGAGCTTAAGCCCCAAGGATAACGGGTAGACTGAGATCAAACTGGACATGGGGTGTGTCTACACATGTGCTTTAATGCGCAGTAGCCTATTTTACTGCACATTAAAGCAGCGTTTAAAAACTGCTATTATGCTAATGTGCAGTAAAATAGGCTACTGTGTGTTAGTGTCACCTAAAAAGCATGTGCTTGCACTACTGAGCATTAAGGTAGCCTAATGCACATTAATTTAGTACTTCACAGTGGAGGTACTAAACTTAATACGCAGTAGGACAATCTCATTAATGTGCATGTAGATGTGCCTCAGATGTGTGCAAGATTTTGTCAGAACTAACTAGTTGTGTGTTTCAGATTTACTTCAGAAATATATGAATGTATTCTTAGGCTATGGGTACATATGTAGTTAAGTCAGCTATTCGCTCTGGAAATTCAAGAGAAAATTTTCTTTTACATTTGACTCGCACGTACAAAACCAGGAAGGTCCTTGGGTATGAGATTGGGACATCTTTCAGCTGAGATGTTTAATACTGCAAGAACGTGTGAAAATTGCTCAGAAGATCACTCATCCTTTTTATAAGCATCTTTGTACCATGTTTACTAGCAGCCCACACGCCATTTCTCGCCTCCACCACTCCCCAAATCAGCTCTCCAAAATTGGGGTACATTTTTTAAGATGAAGCTGATTTTGTTTTCTTTACTGAAATAAGAGCAGTGTAGAATAGAGCAAACAGACATTGAGAGTCAGGACTGCCAAGATGGCTCCTATTTCTCCATGGGCCTGCCAAGAAAAGGGGTGGTGTCCAGTATTAACCCTCTCAAAACTGCTGGTGAGGCAGTAGCTTTTGGCAGAAGAGCTGCTGAGTTGGCAGAGGGCAAGTGAGCTGCTGCATGCAGTCTGCAGGACCTTGATGAAGCTTGTAGTGTGGAAACAGCATTTTATTATTTACAGGAAGTTATGTAAAGAACTTCTTGCAGTAAAGAAGTAAGAGACTTATTACTGCAACTGTTTGGCCTAGTCTTGTTGCTGTCCTGCCACACTAGGAAGTTCCTGCTACCGCAGCCAGACTAGAATGTCTCCCAGGATGCTACCACCTCCTGGACCCCCTACCTTTCCAGGAGGATTTACAGTACTCTGTTACAGTCTGCCATATTTCTGGAAAAATCTTTTTCTCCTACATTCTGCCTTCCAAAAACAAGGTGCATATTTTAAGTTGGGGATGGTGATATGTGAGAAAATATTATATTTAATGAGGGCATTGGTGCTTTTATGAATTATAGGTAGGCAATAAGAGGATTCTTGAGATTTAAATCTCCATATATGCAAACCCTGTACCAAAGGCTTATTTTTATTACATTGGCTTTAGGTCTTCAAGTTACCCTTTTAAGCCTTTTTAGGCTTATTTCATTTTGGCTTTACTCACTCCTAGTATGAAAAACATCGAACACTACTACAATTGGAAAAGATTAGAGAAGAAAAATCTTCCACTTGATGTTTTGGACACCACCTTCAGAACAACACCTAACGGTCCCCAAATGCCTGACAGTGTCAAATCCATTGACAGGTCCAGGAATTGGATAGTCCCTGTCACTACCCTGTCCCTTGGCCATACTACTCATGTACAGTCACTTTATCACCTATGTAATCAGTTTGTGAAAATCTCTCCTATGAAATGGGAGCACCAAGCATGTTTTAAAATAAAACGAATGATAGACAGTTGTAGGCACGTAGGGGCTGTCCCCTGGACAGAGGGTAGGTCTAATGCTTGAAGCTTCATTAACTCATTTTCTGCATTTGGCAAGTTGGTGGGTGCTCTTTCAGCTTACAACAGTGTTTCTTTTTATGCTGAATTTTTTATACTGATCAACTGCATGCAACTTTTCCTAGGGAATAAAGGGCACAACTCTGAGGGCACTTTGTGCCATTCAGAATTAGGCCCCTAAATGCCAAATTATATGCACACAACTGAGTTTGAAACAATATTTAAATTAAATTCTGGAACTACACATGGTACATTGACCGTTTGTGTAGGTGGCTGTAGTATCTTGATTAATACTTGAGTATTTTTTTTTTTTGGAAATGCTAGGATCATATTGAGTGTTCGGGCAATTAAGATGTCAGGGCTGACACCATGGCATCTGTTATAAAATCTTGTTCCTTAGTAATGGTCCAGGTGTCTGTCACCTAGACAAAAATAACAGCACATTCTTCTTTGTGGATTATATTTTATGCAAACACGGCATGCAGTCAGTGATTATGGGCTTGATTTTTATTGAACTAAATAGTTGCATAAAGTTACATTTATGCATTTTGGCTGCCAACGGGGGAGGGCACCATGTTCTGCCAAAAGAAAAGGTGGTGGCAAACAAACACAGTTTGCTTTTTCCTTCTTCTCTTCCCCCATCCTCCTCTGTGTGCATATAATCACTTCCTTCTGGTTCCCATTTTCTTGCTTTGCTGAGAAGAGTATAAGGAAAGCACCTCTGTGCTGCTTATAAGGAGAAAAAGCTGCTGACTGACTCATGTGATACTCCGTAGTTCTTATCTCTGCAATCTGAGTTTTGCATTATAAAGAACCCATATACACAAGTGTAGTCTAGAAGAGAGGTGGGCCGAATCATACCTTTTAGTGTATGATTTGGTTTTTTTTCAAGTTCTAAGGTGGCAGCCCCCCTCCCAAAAGGAGTATTGCGTGTGGGGAGGAGGCAAGGGGAGGGACTTCCAGTGGCAAAGGTTAAGGTCAGGAGTTAGGGTGTGAGACTTCTAGTCATGGTGATCAATATGGTGACCATGCATCCCTTGACAGCTTACCAAAACTTAAGTGGCCCTCCAGCCAAAATAATTGCCCGCCCCGGTCTGGAAAGCTAAATAAATCTAAGAATAAATTTTTTGAATTGTTTTATAAAAATTTTAGTTTTTATACATCATCTTCATAAGAATTATATATGATTAATGAAGAGTGAGGGAGTGTAATATGCTTGTGTGTGAAATTAGAGTTCCCTTAAAGTTAGGGTACCAGTAGATGCACTTTTTAAAAAAAGCTCTTTTTGACACTGCTTTCAATTTTTGAAAGAAATAAGCATGCTTATTGAGAAAGTAATAGACACCTTTTCAATCACTACATTAAAATCTTCTGAAAAAATAGGGTGATAATTATTACACATGCAGAGCTTTAGTAGTAGTAAAAACAACCGTTCTAAAACTGGCATAATTAAAAGAAACCAGCTGAGCAAATATGGACACACAGAGTAATATGGTTAAATTGTCCTAATTCTACCCTTTTCAGAGAAATGTGTTTAAATAGTCCACATCAGCAGAATCTGCAAGTGGAACACGTATTTTTATAGCAATTTTAGTTCATGGTGATGCCTTTTTTTCAGAAAAAGAAGAGGAAAGGAAAAGGAAACTTGGGGAGGTGGAAATTATGCTGGTAGCAAGAAACAAGAGAGCTGCCAATATTCTGGGTATAAACCGACTAGGTCAGGGGTGCTCAATCTCTAGCCCACGGGCCAGATCTTGCTCCCAGTGCTGGGTCATCTGGCCCTCAGGGCTCCCCATGGATATGTGGGGTGTCCTGTGGGCCGTAGCCCTGCATGCTAGACTGAGTGCACGGGGCAACATGAGCCCCAATCTTGGTGCAGAGCCCCTGGAGCACAATCCCAGCTTGGTGGACCAGCCCAACACCATTCATCTGGCTTGTGGGGCTGATACTATGAGTACCACTGAACTAAACTGCCCCTGATATCATGATCATATGATAATTCTGTGCAAAATATAAAAATAACCTGATTTTAGCATGCAGCTTCAGTAATTGCAGTGCTTAAAAAGTATTTATAAAATAAAAAACCAAACAGTAAATAATTTAAGTGTGTGTTGTTCATTTTTGCAAGACTTAAATCCTCCAGTGTGTGTACACACATGCATGTAATTTGGTTGTGCAGATGTGGTATCCTTTCTGTTAGAGACTGTTCATTGCATTGGCTATCATCGTTGCCCTTATTTCACAGGTATGGAAAGAGAGCGAGAAAAATTAAGGGATGTGTCTTAGGACAAGGCAAAAATAGAAGCCAGCTGTCCAAGATCCCTAGCGCTCGTGTCATGTTAAGTTGTACAAATAGTGATAGAAGGATGAGCGATGTAGAAATGTTGCTGCAGAAAGACTGGGTCCTGTTTTTAGATAGCTGTTTTATTAACAAGATCTGACTCATCAGCTACTGTTCCTTCATGATAGAATTGTCCTTCTTGCAGTGCATTGGTCATCTGGTACTTTCCTTTTTCTTCCCAATTCTAAGATTTTGTTCAATGTGTGTGGCTCCTATATCAAAGGCCTTGCCTAAAATGAGCTTTTTATTTACAAAAGTGCAGCATATTGCATCTGGGGTGATTGTGCTAGTACAAAAAAATCCACGAGGTAATAGTCATTTTGTCAATCAAGCCACTTATTGCCCTTTGAAAAATACTAGTATATCTTCTTTTTCTGTGTACAACTAGAGACAGCATGGATTTATCAGTTAGAAATGCATGTGTTGGATCACTGTAGCATGGCAGTAAAATGCTGACCTTTTTGCTGAGTTTACTAACTGCTGAAGGGTTTGACTGACCTGTGGTTCTACACTTCTCTCTGTCTACACACTTTAAGCCTGCCAATTAAAACACAGTCTTTAAAATGCAGTATAATTCAAATCGATATGAAATGTCGCTAACTGAGGATGCAAAGTTTTCTTAAAGTAATTCTTGTTTGTTTTTGTTTTTCTTAAGAAAAAAATATAAGCTTTTGCAAATGAAAACTTAAATGAGTTATTGGCCTTTAGCAAAATCTTATCTTCACACAAACTGGCAAATGAGTTATATTTCTGCCTTCCCTTTCTTTCCTCTCTGGAAGTAATTATGAGCAGATTTCCAAGTAACCTAACCACAATGAGGTATAGTAACATGACTATAACAGTTGAACCATTGCTTCCATCAAAACAAAATCCTGTCAAAATGTTGGATTTATAATTGGCTAGTAGGGATCTTGCCCTAAAGGTATCAGGCCATAGAGGAATTAGCACAGTTTCTGCTGCATTGCAGAGCTGAGCCAAAAAGTGAGAAATTGCATAGGGTGTTTTGATGAGTATCATGAAATTTCCATGGAGCTGCCTCCAGTAGGGAGGATGGGTTAGGCCATAGGCACTGAGACTGAAAGCAGCATGTATTAAGGGCATAGATCTGTGGACCCAGGGTGGAGAGGGAGCTGTAGCAATTGATGAATTACAAATTCAAGCTACAGAGTGGTTGTACGGGCTTTTTATGTCCTCTTGCCTAGCATTTTGAGAAGGTGTAATTCTCTAATGTCTTGTTGGTTTCAGATGAGCCATTTCACTTAGACTTGTCAGAGGTTTGTATTTCACCCTAAATATGCCACGTACCCCTTTGTGTTTTATGTGGTATATTCATAACCCCCCCCTCCCCCCCAATGTCCCACATACCCACCCCTGCCCCACACACTGGGGAGCTGGGGGCAGGGGCAGTGGATCGGGAGTGGGGGGGATACTGGGTTGGGACTGGCCATTGATGTTTAAAATTGGGTCCTGGCCCAAAAAAGGTTGAGAACCACTACCTTAAAGGATTTTAAATGAGATGCTCATTTCCCAGTCCCATTGGCGTGCAGTGAGGCTTATTTTGTTCTTATTCTGTAGTTAAAAAGTGGTGAAACAGTGGCACTAAACTGTAGTGTACAGTAGTTAAAAAGGTAAGCACACATGAAAGTAGCTTGAACTCCGTCCTGTCCTGCCATTTCTGTTGTTTTAAACTTCCTTTTTCAAAATAAATGCATTTGCTAGTTTAAATATTAATTAAAAAATGACTCGTATGTACATTCTTGTTCTCTCTTAATGCATAACATTTTTCTTCCAGTTCCTTCGGATATGTGCTGACCTCTTTCGCCTGGTCCCTTTCTTAGTCTTTCTTGTTGTTCCATTTATGGAGTTTCTACTTCCAGTAGCGGTTAAGCTGTTTCCTAATATGCTTCCTTCAACTTTTGAGACAAAGTCTAAGAAGGTAAATTGCAATATGGTATGGATTGGAAAGCCCATCAAATACTTTAAAGAAATTTGAGTTTTTAACCTGTTCTTTGGATGGAGTGTGTGTCCTCTTAGTTTATCAGCCAAAAAAACCTTAAAGAAACCTTTATAAGCAACTGTCATGTTATGGCTCTTGATTGCAGAGTGCTAGCACTTTCAGGCTATGAACTGATCATTGTTTTTCTTAAACACTTGTACTAGTTTATGTTAGCTAGGGAAAATGTTTTAGCATCCTGCCAGCTAGAATCCTGTTTGTATGTCTGTGTTAAGCAACATAGAGTGAGAATATCTCCAGTCTTTCAACTTTTGATTCAGGCCACCTTGGCTGTAGAGGGGTTCCTGGCCATTTGGGAAAGGCAGATGGATGTGATGCTAAACACATCACTGCCTGTGAGCCATTGACTAGAGAAATTGGCTGTCCTAACTATGCTAGCGCTTACAAAGCTTTTATATCGTTATGTGAATTGATAACAGAATATTCTGAGGTATGTTCTTTAAAGTAAATCTTGAGAATAAATACCAGTAATTTTAGGATAAAAATTCTTACGTTTCAGATTTCTTTAATTATTCATTAGAAGCTAGAAAATTTAGACTTTAGGTTAAGTTTGCAGGAAAATCCAATCTAGATATTATGGAAATTCACAATTGAGGACTACCTTTCAAGTGTCCAGGGGGTGTGGAGGAATGCCCCTATCTTGTGTATGAGTTCAGGGAAGGACAAAATCTTGTTTCTCATTATAATATTGATCTCTCAGTGTTGAGTCTCATTTGTTTGAGTTGCCAGTAACTTGGAATTAAGTAATACCACCACAGCTAGTACCACAGCAATTTTTGCCCACTCAGTTGCTCCTAAATATGTTATAGGTGGTACTTATCCATCTGAAATTTTGGTGAAAGTATAGCTAAGATACTCTGGTTTAGAGAAGCCTATGAAATGCCCTTCTGAATGGGAAGAGAGGGAGAAGGGAACCTTGGTGACTATACTTCTGGACAGGCTATTTTAAGGAAACATGCTTGTATTTTACAGGAGGAGAGATTGAAGAAAGAACTGAGAGTAAAACTTGAATTGGCTAAATTTCTTCAGGACACCATTGAAGAGATGGCTTTGAAGAACAAAGCAGCCAAAGGGAATGTCACTAAGGATTTTTCTGCCTTCTTTCAAAAGGTAGAATAACTTGCTCTCTGTTCTTGTGAAAAGTAAATAGTTTGATATTTTAAGTGTACTAATTAGCAATGTAAGTGGCAAATAAGATGGTTAACTCGTGGTGTAGTATTGACTGCTACCTGTCACAGTCAGGTTTTCTTTATTGATTATGTTGGACTTCAGCTCACATCTTTTTAGCATAATTATTACTTTATTCCCCTTCCCTCCTTTTCCCCCTCCCCCCTTGTCCAAGTTATACTTCAGCTTCCTAAAATCCCATTATCCTTACCTTTAGTATTCTGGGTGACACTTCACTTTATCCCATACATTTTAATTAATCTTAATTCTTAAAAATAACATAGCTGTTCTCCATTTCATTCTTTTTTTTGTGGTTAATAAGCAGATGGCAGTGCTTAGCTCAGTTGGTAGAGTGACTGGCTGCAGACTGGAAGGGCTTGGGTTTGATCCTAGGTGAGGGTGGTGGGGTTTCACTCATTGTTTTCTTTTCCAGCATGGCCCAGAGACCCACCCTACCTGCTGGGTACCAGGAACTATCTGGGGTAAAGGCAGCTAGTGTGTAGTGCTGACCACATCACCTACTTGTGCTGAGAAACAGTGGAGTCTGCATTGCCCCAGTGAGCCTCAGTGGCCTGTAAATGGGGTACCTTTACCTTCTAATAAACAGATTCTGATATCAGAGGCATTGTATGACTGGCTTCTGAATGCATAACTGTTTTCATGTTTCTCTGGACATTGGGACTTCAAATAGACAAGCTGAGAAGAGAAATGTAAATTCTTTTTTAGTCAACTTCCGAGAAGTTACTTAGTTTTAGGCAGATAAGCTTACTAAAGTTTGGGGTGGTTGCTTTTGCCAAGTCTAGTGTGCAGTAGAAAGGGTTTGTTAGTATAGCTATGTTGACAAAACTTATTAGTGTTACTTACCTTGTATCAGCAAAAGAGTTCTTCTGTACATGATGCATCTATTATGACAAAAGCATAGTAATGCAGAAAAGTATGGTCTAGAGCTTTTCCCAGTGTAGAAAAGTATACATTTAAAAAAAAAAGGTCAATTAGTATAATATTATATACTATTATATAATATATTATATACTATTATATTAATATAGTATAGCAATTAGTATAATATTGCTATACTAATCAGAGATTTAAGTGTAGATGTGACTTTAGCATACTGTGAGTAAATGGACTTGTCCTGTGCTGGCTGTACTTTGGGATAAATGAGCTATGCAGTGCACATTTATTTCTGTTGTGATAGTGCTCAGAGTTCCCAAGGGCTTCTGAGCATGTCCACAACCACCCAGCAACATTGGAGCATGCACACAGCCACCCACACCCTGGCACTACCGCAATTCTAGGCACCTCGCTTAATCCAAGTCCTGTGATGCTCCATACAAGGTGTTCCTTTGTCTGCGTTACCTAACAAGCTAATCCAGAACGTGTGCGTAATAGACTCCTCACAAAATGCAATAGCCACCATGCCTGTCCTGCAAAATACGGCCGTTGGAGGAGGAAATGATGATTGTGGTGATTCCTCTTCATCCAGTGGTTAAGGCAGTACCCATGGATGTGAGAAATGCGGGTTAAATTCTTCCTTTGCCGGAGAGGTTTGAAACCCACATCTCCACTCCTCACCACTAGGTTATGAGCTGTTCTTGGGGAAGGGGGAGCTATTGGCTCCTCATTTTGAAGCTGTTTCGATTCATAATGGAATGGGTTGGAGAGGGGGAGTGAGGCAGTGACTGTACTCTAGTAGTTAGGGCTACCCAACAGGGGAGTTCCCACTTCCTGCTCTGTTCATCCAGTTACTTTGTTAATGGAAAATATACATCAGCATGGGCAGTTATTTTAGGCGGAGGGCCACTTACTGAATTTCAGCATGCCATCGAAGGCCGCATGACAGGCAGCAAGGGGTAGATATATATTCATTTTCTAAATCTTTTAGAGGCTCTGGGGGCCGGATAGAACGGCCTGGTGGGCCATATTCGGCCTGCGGGCTGCATTTTGTCCACCCCTGATATACATGAAAGCCCTTCCCAGCACCAGGGGAACCCAGGCCACTTCCTGCCAGATGAGAGCCCATGTGCCTGAAGATTTATGCTCTGTCTTGGTGATTCTCTCTGACTCAGTAAATCTTTTATATTCTACACACAGCTTTGGCAGGAGGGTTGTGAGTCCCTTGGCTCTAGAGTGACCTATAGCCTGGTGGTTAGGGCACTCTTGTGGGTGGGAGATGTGGGTTGGGACCCCTTCAGATCAAGAACGGAATTATAAACTGAGTTTCCTGCAGCCTGAGTGATCACTGACAATGAGATTTAGGAGAAAGGGGGGAATTGCTCATTATCTGCCCTGCTGGCTCCAGCTGTGTTTTGAGAGAAAGGTTAGGCACCCATTTTGAGGAGAACATAGTTTCATAGTTGGCAGGTTCTGAAGGGACCTGAGCAGGTCATCAAGTCCGACCGCCTGCCATGGGCAGGAAAGAGTACTGGGGTCAAACGACCCTGGAGAGGTGTCTATCTAGCCTCCTTTTGAAGACCCCCAGGGTAGGAGTGAGCACCACTTCCCTTGGAAGTTGGTTCCAGATCCTAGCCACCCTGACTGTGAAGAAGTGCTTCCTGATGTCTAGCCTGAATCTACTCTCCATCAACTTATGGCTGTTATTCCTTGTTACTCCCGGTAGTGCTCAGGGGAACAGTGACTCTCTCATTGCCTGCTGGTCTCCCTTGGCCAGTTTATAGATGGCCACCAGATCCCCTCTCAGCCTTCTCTTGTGGAGGCTGAACAGGTTCAGGTCCCGTAGCCTCTCCTTGTCGGGCCTGCCTTGCTGCCCCCTGATCATCCGGGTGGCCCTCCTCTGGACCCTCTCCATGTTGTCCACATCCCTCCTGAAGTGCGGTGCCCAGAACTGTACACAGTACTCCAACTGCGGCCTGACCAATGTCATGTAGAGGGGGAGGATCACCTCCTTGGCCCTGCTTGTGATGCATCTGTGGATGCATGACAAGGTACGGTTAGCCTTCCTGATTGCATCCCCACATTGACGGCCCGTATTCATCTTGGAGTCTATAACGGATTATCAGCATTGAGGGTTGAGAATCCCCGAGTGAAGTGTCTAATCCTGGAGAGGGAGCGAGCTTCAGATCTGCACCTATGCTCAGTTTCCTGTTACTTAGTATGGCAACATCCTGCTTGGTATACTGGCTTCTAGGATTTCCATTCTGAGGCACCGGATGCAGTAGTGACAACTTCCGCAAAACAACCATGAGACTCCTGATTTCTAATCAAATTAACTCTAACTTATGATCTCTGGATAGAGAGATCAAATCTTGGGATTTTTTCTTCTGGTGCATGTAGAGAGCTCCATGCTAGCAAGTCTGTGGAGGGGAAGGGGTGGGGGCACAGGGAATGGGCCGGAGGTTGCAGATCAAGGCCCCCACAGTGAGGGAGGGAGTGGGGCTGGAGTGAATGGGGTCGGGGGGCTGGGGTGGGTCATGCGGCTCATCTAGAGGTGTGGGGGAGGGGTGGGTGGCTCCCTGCCACTGCATGCACCCCCGAGGGAAGCCATGCTGGGGCGAGTGCCTCCCGGATTTGTGCCCTCCGCTGGGGCGGAGGTGGGCTGCGGGCTGGGGCTGTGTGCTCTCCTGGCTTTGCCCTAGAAGCTGTGCGCTGGCTGCACCACATGTCCCCTGCCCACCTGGCAGCGTCACGGCAGAGCCCCAGTCCACAGCAGGCATCCCACCTCCACCTTGGGCACAAATCTGGGGGGCACATGCCCCTCCTACCTCCCCCATGGGTACATGCAACAGCAGGGAGCCACCCATCCCTCCCCCACACCCCTGGATGAGCCACCTGCGACTGTTGCCACCCATCTCTCTCTGCCCCCTACTCCCAAGCCATAACCCCCCCCCCAGGCTTGTGGGTGCCCCTCATTCCTGGCCCACATTGCCCCACATCCTACCAGGGCATGTGGGCCCCCCTCCCCCCACACATAGCCACAGGCCCCTCCCCCCCTTTTAAAAATAGCATCTCATGATTTAGATTTTAAATCTCTTGCTTTTTTTTTAAAAGAGTTTGTCTCATGCTTTTTGATAGGGTGGGGCTGGCAATACTGCAGATATCCCCTGCTTGGTGTAGGGAGTGTAAACATCCGTCTCGGAGCTGCGGATTATACTGTGGGGAGTAGATGTTCAAGTTCCTTTTTGGTGTATGTGCCTAAGCCTCTCTCTGGCTCAGTTCCCCATGGAAAAATTATGCTTTCCACCTCTCAGAGGTTTTATGAGGCTAAATACACTACAGTTTTGGAAACTGCTCGCATATTACATTAATGGACCCAGGTAAGTACCTTGAATAGTGACATCACCAGCTATCAGTCTAACTAGTACCACATGTTAGCATTTTACAGAGTCATTTACACCTTAAAGCTAATCCTTTAGCACTAGGGGCTAGAGAGGTATTTATTCATTGTGTGCATGCTCGAAAATTAAGGCACGTTCCGTGTTTTGTAGCCTCTGGGAAGTAAATGCACGTTTTAACTTGTAGTTCCTGTAGCTGCAGGAGGGAGATGGAGTGCTCTCTTTCCTTTGACTTCAGCTGTGAGCTCCTATCTGCTACACAGAGGAGTCTGATAGAAAGCTCTGGC